CGGTAAATTGCTGAACCACAGGGAAAATCAGAATTTTGGCTGCCCCCTTTAATGAAGGAAAACATGATTTAATCTTTAAATTATAACAATTTCTAAATTACTCAGCATTGGTAGAAAAATTATCTGACTGACTGTGTAACTACCAATTCCACTCTCATATCTGCTTTTTAAAAAGATTTAGCTGTTTACAATCATTGTAACCTTCAAAGACATAGGTAAACCTCCAAATTGTATTGAAACTATCTGTGGAACTAGCTGCAATAGTGTTGTCGAAGGCTTTCATGGCCCGAATCACTGGGTTGCTGTGAGATTTCATCATACAGCCCGGAAAACTCACAGCAACCCACTTACTGCAATAGCTTTCCAGATTACAATGGGCTCTTAATATCTGCTGGGGTATGGCTCAAGAACCCCCTATGGATACCCAACCCCATTGATGTTAAGGGCCCATTACATACAGTGGTATAGGAAAATGGTGTTCGTTAAATAAAATGGCAAAATCAAGTTTTGCTTTTTGTAATCAAAAAATATATTTTCCAGCCATAGATGGTTGAATCCATGGAAACATGGCTATTTATTGATTAAGTAGAACACCTTAATGGATGTGATGTTCACAGAATCAACAACATTCTGATACAATACCAACAAACTGGGAGTAAATCTGGGTATCTATGAAGACCTTACACCTAGTAGAAACTGGATGCCTGTCACTGTCACATAGGGCCCTTCACACAGTCACATAACCCAGAATATCAAAGCAGAAAATCCCACAATATCTACCTTGAACTGGATTATCTGAGTCCACACTGCCATATATTCCACTCCAAAAGAGATAATGTGGGATTCATTCAGCTGTGTGAGAGGGGCCCTAGTTGAAGATTGACTTCTAGTTGCCACTTTGTCTCTCCTTTGTGGAGAGAAAAAGTGGGGTATAAATAAACATAATAATTATTATTCATTAGCAGAAACCATAAAGTAGACCTTGCAAAACATATCAGTAGTTATCAGTAGTTCTAGATAGTTCAGGCAAAAACTTAGTCAATTTCTAACTCTAAGAACTGCACTGTACCATTAAAGTAAATAGAACTAAGTATGCATGTCTGCAACAATAATGTCAACCTTGAATAGAGAGAGGCGTATTACACCAGCCTATCCTGTTTATAACCCATCACCTCCATCAACAGCTTGTTAGGGGCTCTGCTGACCCTTATACTGACAATATTCCACCAATTAAGTTTCCTCAATTCCCCAGGGAAAACACCAGCTGGTTTTATATTTTGGCCGGGCTTACCAAAATTTCATTGCATGTTTAATTCAAGAATACTCAAACAAACTGTTCTATCAAATCAGTTGCCCTTCTTGTAGATTGTGGGGTGGTTTTACCATACACTACAACCAAGTGACCTTTGTTTTTGAGAGTCATGTCAAATAATAATAGAAATTGCAAGTGCCTCAGCTGAAGATTTCCTCATTTTGCAAAGAAAACATTTCCAACCTACAAAAAAAACAACATTTCATACAGCAGAAGCCATTGAGTTCCAGAGAGTATAGTTTGTCTACAAATAACTCAGGTTAAGTTCCCTTTTCAATCTTGATGCTTCTTGGCACCCTCAATCATTTCACTATCTTTATACTGCAAAGAATTAACACAAAAATAAATCCCATGAAAAGAGTACAATAAAATGTTATTCCACCAAAATCAAGAGAGTTCACTAATAACAACAACAAAAATCAGTAATTTACCTTTTCCAACTCCTCCATGGTGCAGATCATATGGGCGCAAGTGGTGAAAATTTCTACAGCACGTGATCTTGTACGAATACCATACACCTAATAGAAAAGAAGCAGCTTCTCAAAACATGGATGAACTCTGTCTCTTTGATTTGCAACAGCTTTATAATGTCAAAGCCTACAGAAGTGATGGCAAACCTTTTACAGACAGGGTGCCAACCCCCCCCCCCCTCCGGGGAGGGGGAGTGTCATAGGTTCACCACCACTGTCCAGCAAAGAAGTACTTCTCAGGTTATTTGTTCTGTGGAAGCAGCCATCTTTTTTCTCTCTCTCCAAATGTGCTAGAGATTAGTACAATACTTGTACTCTTTCTGTCCTAGAAACTCACCAGGGATCAGCAACCAAGAGCTCAGGGACTGGCCCTGGTTTACCACTGGTGTAGAGGATTACAGCAATATCTGTCTCACAGGACAGAGAACTATTCCAGACCGCAATGAGTCATAGAATCATAGAATCAAAGAGTTGGAAGAGACCTCATGGGCCATCCAGTCCAACCTCAAGAAGCAGGAATATTGCATTCAAATCACCCCTGACAGATGGCCATCCAGCCTCTGTTTAAAAGCTTCCAAAGAAGGAGCCTCCACCACACTCCGGGGCAGAGAGTTCCACTGCTGAACGGCTCTCACAATCAGGAAGTTCTTTCTCATGTTCAGATGGAATCTCCTCTCTTGTAGTTTGAAGCCATTGTTCCGCGTCCTAGTCTCCAAGGAAGCAGAAAACAAGCTTGCTCCCTCCTCCCTGTGGCTTCCTCTCACATATTTATACATGGCTATCATATCTCCTCTCAGCCTTCTCTTCTTCAGGCTAAACATGCCCAGCTCCTTAAGCCGCTCCTCATAGGGCTTGTTCTCCAGACCCTTGATCATTTTAGTCGCCCTCCTCTGAACACATTCCAGCTTGTCAATATCTCTCTTGAATTGTGGTGCCCAGAATTGGACACAATATTCCAGGTGTGGTCTAACCAAAGCAGAATAGAGGGGTAGCATTACTTCCCTAGATCTAGACACTATGCTCCTATTGATGCAGGCCAAAATCCCATGTCGAGATAAATGGGAAATGCCTAAAATGGGTTCAGAACAGAATGAAGCACTAGAGATTATACTAACAATATACCTTTTTCTAAAGGAGCACACAAAAAAATCAAAGGAAGATCAAACTGTACTTTATAGATTACAAAAAACTCTTTGACTGCATATATCTCATTTCTGACTTTCATGCATAGTTGTAAAAGATGGACAATGAAGGAAGAACACTAACAAGATCAATTTATTAAAATGTCTTGCTGGAGGAGAGCTCAAAATGATGAATAGATGGATGCTTGAGCAAATCAAGCACACACTTTTGCTAGAAGTCAAAATTACCAAACTAAGGTGGCTGGCTAGCTCTCAAAATTCTAGCACACCAAGGCATAACTAAATGGATTTTTTTTTTAAAAAAAATGGGTTTTAAATGGCATTGCTTGCCCTCTAAAATTTCTTCCATTATGACTGGATGAGCAGAATTACAAGGTCAGTAGTTTTCTTTGGCAACTCAGCAGCTCTTCAAAATGTTAGTCATTGTTCTCTTTTAAGTAAATTATGAGAAGCAGTGCTGATTGATGATATTTCTACTTTTTGTTGAATGCATCAATTGTGGGCACTGTGAACTCACATTACATCTAAATATACTGATGGTTGCTTTAAAACCGATTTTTCACTAATCCTACCAAAGGTTAAACAACAGTTTTTACGCATACCTCCGCCATTGTAAAAATCTTGTACATCTCAGGTAGAATAACTGGAGCAACAAGGGGCATCTGTGTGTCAGTCACCTCCCGCGTGAATTCTAGGAAACAGTGAGATAACAATAGGCTTACACAAATAAAGTGTACTTCCATCATGGTACTTTTCATTTTCATAGCGTTCATCAATTCTGATAATACACAGGTCTATAACTAAGCAAAACAAGGATTAAAATATCATTATTATTATTATATGATTGAGAACTCAGCTCTTACAGGGGTTGTAAATTTACATCAGACTGTAGTTGGGTGCTTGCATTAACAAAGTCTCCCCAACTTCGATGTACAATAAAAATAAAAGATTGCCAGATAGAAGAGCTCTAGCCTAATCTTCTTACCATCAAAATTTTATCATCTCTGTGAAAACTAGATGGGTTCTGTTATGGAGACAGCTTGTGTAACAGTGGCATGACAGACCAACAATGAACTGGAAACTAATTATTAAAATTCTGGAATTACAATGGTGAGGTAGGTGAACATAGCTGTTATTCATTGCCTTGAATCTTGGAATGTTTATCAGAACATGCCATTTTACCTGTGAAATGCCTAAACTATTAATACCAATTTTTCTCTCATTGTGAGTATATACACACCTGTAAGCACTCTCATAGCTCCATGAACTGCATTCAGATCCCCACTGACCAGCATTTCCATCAACAGATTGAAAAGCTCGGGCCAAGCTTCAGGCCAATCCCAATGAGCTATTGCAGATACTGCATAGGCAACACTCGAACGCACTTTGCTGATTGATTCTCTCAACCCATTTGGAAGCAGTTCCCTAATGGCAGCTTTTGCCTGTACATAAAAAGAACAAAGGTTTTATCAATGACCATACATAATTTGTATGAGTCTGATACAAGTCACACGTACATAATAGGATATGCTACTGTATTTATGCAAGTGCCTTTACTATAGAATGTAAGTTATACATTTTCCTAAACTTGGACATTGTGAATTATAATATTTAAAATAAGCATTACCCTTTCTGTCGTCTCAGGAGGTCTAAATTTATCTGACTGTGAACACCAGTGAGTTTCCACATACTGTTTCAAAATCACAGATGCCAGCTGTGAGGAAAAACAACAACAATGTAAAATACCAAAACGGTCATATTCAGGATTAATTTCAAGAACTGTATTACAATGGTCATAAATTCAGGAAAGACTGACCTGACGTATTGCTAATGCGCCTTCAGGATCTACAGTCAATTCTGCCAAGTGAACGCCAAATTCTGAAACAAAAAAATTATCAGTTTCAATTTTTCTAATTATGAAGAAACTATCCTGTCATTTCATCACATATAGCACTTGATTCTTTGCCCCATTCATTCTACACAGTTCCTTCCCACTTTGGGAGTTTAAACTTATCAAACATTTAACCAAAAAGATCTTTTTAACTGAATAGATGAAAGAGAAAACTCAAAGAAAAAGGTAGAAAGAGTTACATGAATAGTATATTTTGTCATGTGAAATAATTCTTTAATCTTGCAAATAAACATAATACAGAAGGGTATGTTCCCAATGAAACAAGCTCCATAGTAACAAAATGAAGAACTCAAGTTTTACATTCAGGACTTCATTTAAGAAATGGGGAAAAAAAATAAAGCAAGAGAGTAGCAGTAGCAAAAATCAAACAAGCTGTCTTACCCAATCTTAAATGCATAAGGATTTAGGCCAAGTAATTTAGAAAGTAAAAAGCCGATCACTTAAATAACGTCAAGCTTTGAAGTTATAATCCTGTGACTATTTTAAATATGCATATCACATTTCAAGGCAAAAAGTATTTGTAGAGTAGTTCAGAGCACAGCTAACTTGGATGAGTAGAATTGTAAAACATTTAAAATATAATAAATCTAAATAATGCCAAGCTTCTTCAGGTTTTAAGACGAAGATTTCAAAATGTGCAAGGGAAGAGAGGAGTCTTGATTTGGAGTATCTTAAGTTTATTAGTTTTCAGAGAGCAGCAAGGTGCTTCCCGCAATTCCAGGCATGCCAAATATAGGAATACAATGCAATTTTCCAAGCTCTGTACCAAAGTGATTTGATACATTTTGATAGTTTTGATCTATACATAATATTCTACTCCTAGTCAACAATATGCTGCCAACTATTGCATTTTTTCAATTTTTTGGATTTGTTACTTTTTGGAAACAAAGTCCACATTGAGGAACTCCTAAATATGGCATGACTGCGACTGTGGCCTCTGAAAAATATCAAGTTTAAATGTTCACATCTATACTTGCACCTCTTTTAAAATAATGGCGTATGATACAAGGATTCATGATACAAAGATCAAAACTACATGGAACAATTGTCTCTTGTCTTGAGTAGAGAACTAAAACAAGATTCATATTTGAGTCAGCATAAAAGCTCACAGATTACACTTTGCTCTTTCCCTAGGTAGCTTTTCAATATGTTGGCATAAAATTCTTCAAAAAGCAACAATGTAATTTACATGTGTCAAACCTAAAACTCCAAATTGTTATAGGGTGCATTATACTTAATTCCATCTGGCCTTCTCTTGCCGTCACTTTAGGAAAGCCAGTGGAATGACTCATTTGGTTGCAGGCAAATTTAGACTCAAGCAGGGAAATTTCTAAATGTTGTCTTATGCCAAGAATTACCTGTGCTTCTGGTCAATAATCTCTGTTTGGAAATATATTCTTTCCCCTGCCCACATAATGATGTCCAAATGCAGGCTTGAAGGGGAATTACAGCTCCCCATTTGCATTCCCACAGGGGAGTCCTATCAATTACAATCCATTCTCTACCTCTACCTTAAGGTCCATTAAGTTCCTCCCTCATTAGACCTGCTTTGGTCCTTTCTACTGATCCAAAGGCTACCAATGAATTCAGTGAATACATTGACTAATATCTGTAAAAATAACTTTAAAGAAATGAACTACTATGGTCTGTTATGAGACTTCAAAAATAAGGAGGAAACTACAGCATTAGTTCCACCATTCTGAAGTTACTTGCTTAGTACTATCTGTTGACTGTGTTTAAGATTACTTCCTCAGTAAAATCAAATCATGTAAAAGACAGGAAAAAAAGGCAAGGGTTATCAACCGTCGCAACAATGGCTCACCGAAAGGATCTTTGTTTCGAGAAACATTTTGCTTTTGAGCAAAGATTATTTTCATTTTATTTCAGGGTGAAACAGGAAACTGCATCAGGCAGTCTGGAGAGTACCATAAATAGTTGTCTAACTCTTGAGAACAGACAGGAATTCTATACACTATCTAGCAACTGGATTTTATATATACTACAACTGCCATTACACCAATTTTTCTTACAGTAAAAGTAAAATGACATTGCGTGCACATACTCGTATGTCATGTCAAATGACCCAGCAAACTCAGGAATAATAATGGAATTGAAATATGTGCAAGCATATGCTGAAAAAAACACAAAACATCACAATTATCTCACAAAATGTGGAAATACTCTAAAGTTACTTGCTCTCCAGAAACACAAAACGACTGCTGAAGCTACAAGATATACTAGTGCTCTTTCCGGCCACAGAGGGAAAGTATATTCTTTCCCCCCTCAAAGACAAACCTATCTTCACAGAAGCAGTCTTGAATTCACGTAGAAATCATCAGGATTACTTTCCCAAGCATTTTCTATTTCCCCTACATAGTAATTCTGCATTAAACTTCATGAGGCTTTATAGCTGGCTAGGCTGAAACTGTTGTTTCTGAAAATGCACTTTTGTTTTAATTTAACATGATTAAATTACTTATGAGAGGGGTTTAACTCTTCACAGGTATGAACCAAATTCTCAAATCATGCACCCTTTTGTCTATCTCCAATTGACTGGGACTGCTTAGTAGATCAAAAACACACACACTTGCAATCTAAAGCCACCATTATATTATTCCCATGAATCTTCTTCCTCCATAGCATACGAAGTATGACACTACTGAGAAACAAGATAAAGACCAAAATTAAAAAGTCATATTTCTTTCTTCAAAAGTTCATTAAATATGACAGGATGGTTTCTATGGTAGGAGTAAAATGATACCAACCAAAGCATAATTTTTGCAGTTCTCATTGTTGAGAACTATTCAGATTAACACAAAGTTTATCCATCTAACGTTATTTAGTGAACCAAAGTGATAATAGGATTGGTACTGGAAGAATAATAAGTAGTGAGCTGTCACTGTGCTTTGTACAGCACATCAAGGCTGTTGATGCAGAAAGACCTGGATGAGCTACATAGTAGATAGTGCTTCTTTAGAAAGGTAAGCTTTTCATTTAGTCTGATTCACTGTTTCTCAAACCGTGATCCTCCTGGTGTTTTGGATTTCAGTTCCCAGAAATTCCAGACAGCTTACCAGCTGTTAGGAATTGTGAGAGCTGAAGTCCAAAACATCTGGGGGAGTAGAGTTTTGAGAAACTCTGTAGTTGATGACAGGCAAACACAACTTCAGATGTAAGCTACCTAGGAGAGGTCTAACACCGATTCCCCCTTACCTAATCCCCTAAGACTACCATATATTCCATGGGAAGAATATATCTCAAGGGAGGCAGAGGCCTTGTTCTACTCAAAAAAATGTGAGTTGTTTCCCAGTATTTCTTACGACACCAGGAAAAATGGATTGTGCAATATAAGACCTTACAAAAACTATTTGTTCTCACCTTGCAGAGTGAGGAAACAAGCTAGCAGCCCAGGGATTTACTTGTCAGCCTGTGCAGCAATCTCCAGGGGGGCACTGGCAACAAGGGATTTCAGCTTCCATCAACAAAGGGGTTATATGAGCTTTTCTGCATTTATTAAATATAACCTGTACCCATAGAACAACCATGTGTATTCAATAAACTGTATGCCATCTTGTCATACAAATGGTTTCTCCTCATTTCAGAAATTGCAGAATCTGCTTTGATGGAGACCTGCATAGTGCGGGCCCTCAGAGTTACTACAGAAGCCAAGACATAGTAAAAAACTGCACAACTGGCCTTTATCCGAGTGCAGGCGCCATCAGCCAGGCTCAGTGAACACCACATACTCAGGACTGAATCTTGATCCCCGAGCGCTCTCCCTCCGCAGAACTGTGTTTAGGCTATACTAGAAGAGATCCAGAAAACCTCCAATGAGAACTACAAAGCAATTTTACCTTTACCCTCCAAGTCAGTGGAATCATGATATGACCACTAACTATTTGTTAACATATGCATCAGAATAATCTTAGCTCAAGGAACCTGTGAAAGTCTTAACCAGTTTTTGACAAACGTGATTCAATAAGATCATCAGGATAAGATAGAAATAATGTTGAAGGGTGGCACCTGGAGTTTATTATTATTTATTTAAAACTTTTATATCCGGATCTTCTCTACCTCCGTAGAGGGACTCAGACCGGCTAACAGCAAGGATTAAATGCTCATAATAAAGTCTAAAACAACATACAGAAAACAACACATTAAAATACATACAGGATAATATACATATAAGCCAAGAGTTAAGATATAAATCTTGCTTCTAACAGCTTCAATTAGTTCATCAGCAGCCTTTTCTAGAGAAGTCAAATCAGGATTAAATTATCAGGATACTACATAGGCTGCCTCCAAGGGCAGTGATGAAACTTCAATTGGCAGCTCCATTTCAGAGCAAGGTTGTAATTAGAGATGGCAGGCAGTATTATGTCTCACAATTTCAACATTGCTTCTGAGATAAGTTAAAAGTGCTCTTTTTACCTTCAAAATTCAAAGACACTGTATCAAGAAATTATTTATCTCACAAGAACTTGATAAAACATGGATGTCAGTCCTATTCTGTATACTTCTAACATCGCAAGGGACAAAATCTTCACCTGTTCTAACACCTGCTCTAAAGAGAGGCCCCTTTGACTGACAGTATTAAACAATCATCTTTCAGTAGTCCCTTCCTCAGTGCTGTAATTTAACAATAGGATATTGGTGATATAATTTTAATGTCTAATTTCTGATATTTAAAACTTTTGTGTTTTTAGTTGAAACAAAAAAGTTTTTTGTATTTTTAGTTATTTTCAGAGTTCCCCTAAAAGTAAAATAATAGACAAAAATATTTTTGAATAAAAAGTAATTAGACTATATTTTACAACAAAAGCAATAGCATGATAGAAATACATTATTGGTGATGAAGCAATACTGCATTCAAGGTGGGCATGACAGGGAAGAACCCAAAGAAAGTGGTCTCCTCTTGCCCCCTTTACTGACTTCCTGCAAGCTGGAAAGAGACCCTGGAGACTTGCTGCCTGAGGATCTCCTGGTGGCAATTTGCAGAGCTCCTAAAGGCAAGAGAAGCAGGCAAACAGATGAGTCAAGAGAAGGACAGCAGGATGGTTATTTGGTGTGGTAAGCAGATGGGAATGTGAGAGGATTTCTGGCTCTCACAGTAGCCTGGGGTCTGGCTCAGTTGTAGAACTTTTCGCCTTTCTCCTATACTCGGCATCTACAGGGAACAACACCAGAGAAGCCTGGTTTTCTTTCTCCTGGCCTAGAGATGTGAAGGCAGAGGGAAGGGTAAAACTTCGGGGGGGGGGGGGGGACACATTTTAAACATTTTTATCCCTTATATGCCAGAGCAATTTTTGATCCCCCCCACCCCCCCAGGAAATGAAAAAATGGATTATGGAATATTATAATGTTTAAGACAGGAAGTTCACATAACATTTGTTTTTAAAATCTACGTAAGAGGAAAATATTTATGCCAAAATATGTACAGTTACAGATCACTACAATTGGTCTTGGTTTCCTTTTCTCTGATCACTTTGTTGCAATAGCTGTCTGCTCAACACTATAGAGAACTAGTGGAGACTAGTGTGTAAAGCCTTTGGAGTTTGTTTTTGCTATTCCAGTTATAACAAAACTGACTGAAATGCTATCTAGTGCTTTGATCTGTTGAACTGGGTCCATAATTATATGCATTCAACTGAAGATGAGTTCAGAGTGAGGATAGCAGACACCTAGGCTGGAAGTACAAGCAAATTTCCCTCTTGGCAAACTCCTCTCACACACTTTCATCTCAAGCTATACCTTCAGCTTCCAAGATCACTGACATTTTCTAACAGTAACAGTAAATTTATCTCTAATGATACTTCAGCTCTGTAATGTAAACACGTAACATTCACGATTTGCACTAAATGAAGAAGATCCTAGGTGTGATCAAGGGTTTCAGGAGCAGCAAAAGGTCCAGAAATATTCACATCTAAGTAACTGATGAGGCTAATACCATTTATAATGACTATTCCAACTGGTATTGCAATGACAGCCAGCTGTTCTGACACAATTCAGAGCCTTGGGATCAAGGCTTCTTGAGCAATATAAAGCAAACTAGTGTCAACTTCCCTACATTTTCCCTTTCAAAACAATACTATACTATAAGTTCAGCCAAAGTGTAAAAAACCCCACAAAAAACCCAATCACATATTCAGGAAAAAACAGGTAAAAAATTTGATAGTCATTAGGCAGATAAAAGTTAGAAAGGCCAGACTACCTCATGGTGATTCCTTGTTCATACTATATCATCACATAATGGGACACCAAGCTCTTCAAACTTCAGGTTGCTACTACAATAAGGAAATCTCATTTACACGTAAGTAGCAATCCGCTCATCGTATTGGCTGCCAGGTACATGCAAGCTTTGCCTATAGTTCAGACCCACAAGCTCTGGATACTTGGCAAACTACTGGAAATATGTTAGAGACATGATGCTTCTGTAGTGGGTGAATGGGCACATGGAAGTCAAAAACAGAGCAAGTCTTGCTCATTTTGATCCAGCATTTCTTGGAAATACAGGTTACCAAAGAAATCTGCTAACAGATAGAGCAAGAACAGATAAAATAACACAAGATACAAAGAAAACATAAAATGTAATCCTTTGAAAGTGAACCATGAAAGGGTCACCCAATAAACTCTTCATGGGCTTCTTGAATCTTACTGAGGACTCAATAATAATAACAATAATAATAACAACAACAACTTTATTTATACTCCACCACTATCTCTCCAATGGGGACTTGGAGCAGCTTACAAGACGCCAAGCCCAAACAGAAAATTACAATAAAATAAAACTGAAAACAAGCAACTACTTCATTCTTTTATAATACATATGTGCATTTTCAAAATTAGGTAAATAATGTTTTTCCCTGTTATGGGTTCATATAACTGGTAAGATTACCTCTTCTGCCTCTCCCCCCCCCCCCAACTCAACAATAACATCCACCTTTGCATTCTACAGGTATCTTCAATTATGTTGCATTAGATTAGACTGAGAGGTTGTATCAACTGCAAGATGTATTAAACTGATGGCCTGAAAAAAAGATTTCCTTGAACTAACAGCATAAAACTAGTTTAAAACGCAAGATCTGTGTGTCATTTTCAGAAGCAAAGTATATGCAGAAAGAAATATTGGGGCAAACTTTTGAAACAAATCACAGTATCACAAAAGTACTAAATTGGCCATGACCTGCTTCTGATAATGGCTGTGGCTTTGTCTTTTAAAAATGCAGCTCCACCTGCATTTATGACATTTTTGAATCATGATGGCCCAGCAGCAATCCTGACCACCCACACAATGCTGCTTGCTATTTCAAGAAGTTTCTGCTCTCTCCTCATTGGTCATTTATCCTATGCTTTGGACCAAGAAGAGGAAAAGACTGAAATTGCATTTGCTAATTAAAATCTGCTATTTCAAAACCTTCAAACAGAACCATTCCTCTCTTTCCCTATACACACATGCACTTTGATGGGGAAAATCTACTATAGAATTTTCAAAGGATAACACACACCATAACTAATGGTGATACTAAGAAGATTTTTGGTTCCATATGCAGTAAGCTCTCCCCTTTTGCAGGGGTTAGGGACACAGGAGAACTGCAGATTAAAAAAAATTGCAGTTGTTAAAACAAGTAAACATCTAAAAACCTCAGGATTCCATAATGTGTCTGGAATACATATTTGGAGACTTTACAGAAATGTATTTGGTTCTAAATGCTTATTTCTGTTTTATTTTATAGATGGTTTTATGTGTTATATATGCTGATAGTTTTGGACTTGTATTGCTTTTAACATGTTGTAAGCCACTAAGGGTCCCTTTGTGGGAGAAAAGTGGGATACAAATAATAATAAGTTATTACTATTATCTATAGGAATTTTGGTTTTCCAGAATTATTATTATTATCCTGCTTTTCTCCCATGGGTGTGATTCAAAGCAGAGTACAATAGTTAAAAGCAACAAAATTACATAACATAAAATACAGCATAGTAAACAAAAATACACACTACACAAAACAAATTTAACAAATTAATAAATCAAAACATTATACCATTAAAAAAATTTCCTGAACCTCAGGCCATTAAGATTATCCATTAAAACAGTTACGTTAGGCTCCTAAAAACTCAATTTTTCTTTAGGTCAGTGGTTCTCAACCTGTGGGTCTCCAGATGTTTTGGCCTTCAACTCCCAGAAATCCTAACAGCTGGTAAACTGACTGGGATTTCTGAGAGTTGTAGGCCAAAATACTTAGGGACCCACAGGTTGAGAATGATGCTTTATTTTTATGAGATGTGTTATATTTTTATGAGATGTGTTTTATTGTTTACCTGTACAGCATTAAATTTTTGCCAGATATGAAAGCTGCCTTGTGTCCCTTCTTGGGTCGAAAAAGGCGGGGTAGAAATGAGGTAAATAATAAATAGACCGTGTTAAAATACTGCCGGTCTAAAGCAGCATTCCCACAATATACAGTTGCCTATTGTTGATAGAATCATACAGTTGGAAGAGACCTCATGGGCCATCCAGTCCAACCCCCTGCCAAGAAGCAGGAAAATTGTGTTCAAAGCACCGCCAACAGATGGCTATCCAGACTCTGTTTAAAAGCTTCCAAAGAAGGAGCCTCCACCACACTCTGAGGCAGAGAGTTCCACTGCTGAACAGCTCTCACAGTCAGCAGTGGAACCCTCTGCTCTGGAGTGTGTTGGAGGAAAATAAGCAGGAAAATCATGTTCAAAGCACCGCCAACAGATGCCTATCCAGCCTCTGTTTAAAAGCCTCCAAAGAAGGAGCCTTCACCACACTCTAAGGCAGAGAGTTCCACTGCTGAACAGCTCCCACAGTCAGCAGTGGAACTCTCAGCTCCAGAATGTGTTGGAGGAAAAGCCTGGTTGAATTTATGATCAAATTCCAGTTGAAACTAACTACAAAACTGCATCGCAGGGCCTATATCCCCAGAGAGGTGTTTATTCTAGAAATCTCTAGGTCCTGTCAACAGGACTGGAGGAAGAAACTCCTAAATGGCATTTTAAATCAAATCCGCAAAAGTCTGAACAAGAAATGAGGAGGACTGATTGTATAGTGAAGCACAAACTAAGTCTGTACTTACATTATTATTATTATCGTGTATTTAAACAGCACCATTGCTGTACATGATACTTTGTGAGGGAATGAATAATGAACCCATGCCCTGCCCTCAGGCTTATAGTCTGTTCTTGGAGAGAGGAAGGTAAGAAATAACTATGATGATGTTCACACACTGTCATCAGCATCACTGGCCTATTTCAGGTTCACTAAAGGGGCATCCACACGGTAGATTTAGCGCGGGTTGGCACCACTTGAACTGGCAGGGCTCAATGCTATGGAATCCTGGGGTTTGTAGTTGATGAGGCACCAGCATGCTGGCGCCTCATCAAACTACAACCCCAGGATTCCATAGCATTGAGCCCTGCCAGTTCAAGTGGTGCCAACCCGTGCTAAATCTACCGTGTGGATGCACCCAGAGGAGGCCCAGGCCCCTCACTCGCTCGCTCCCTCTTACCTTCCGTCACTTCCAGCACCTTCACTTGCTCCTCGGCCGCGGCGCGCACCCCCTGCACCGGGCACAGGATGCCATTCAGGGTCTCCACCAGCGCCTCCTTCAGCCCCTGAGCCACGGGGCCCAGGCCTCCGGGTCCCACAACCGACATCCCGGCGGGAAGAAAGAGACTCCCCGGAAGGAAGGAGGGAGGGAGGACTGAGGGGAGAGAAAAGGGCCGCGGACGCTGCTGCTGCTGCTGCGGATGCCGCCACCGCGCGCCAAACGCAGCCGCGCGACGACGCCGCTCGCACGCACGCACGCACGCACGCACAGCGCGTCCCCTGCCCAGGCTCCCGACAGGCGCTCTTTTCCCACAGCGACCCCCGCGGTCGGCGGAGGAACTGCAAGCAGGGCAGCGCCTTTCGCTCTGGTTGTTGTAGGTTTTTTCGGGCTATATGGCCATGGTCTAGAGGCATTCTCTCCGGACGTTTCGCCTGCATCTATGGCAAGCATCCTCAGAGGTAGTGAGGTCTGTTGGAACTAGGAAAAAGGGTTTATATATCTGTGGAATGACCAGGGTGAGCCAAAGGACTCTTGTCTGCTGGAGCTAGGTGTGAATGTTTCAACTGACACCTTGATTAGCATTTGATGGCCTGACAGTGCCTAGAGCAAACTATTGTTGAGAGGTGATTAGATGTTCCTGATTGTTTACTCTTTATTGTTTTTGCTGTTGTAATTTTAGAGTTTTTTTAATATTGGTAGCCAGATTTTGTTCATTTTCATGGTTTCCTCCTTTCTGTTGAAATTGTCCACATGCTTGTGGATTTCAATGGCTTCTCTGTGTAGTCTGACATGGTGGTTGTGAGAGTGGTCCAGCATTTTTGTGTTCTCAAATAAAATGCTGTGTCCAGGTTGGTTCATCAGGTGATCTGCTATGGCTGATTTCTCTGGTTGGAGTAGTCTGCAGTGCCTTTCATGTTCCTTGATTCGTGTTTGGGCGCTGCGTTTGGTGGTCCCTATGTAGACTTGTCCACAGCTGCATGGTACACGGTAGACTCCTGCAGAGGTGAGAGGATCCCTCTTGTCCTTTGCTGAACGTAGCATTTGTTGGATTTTCTTGGTGGGTCTGTAGACAGTTTGTATGTTGTGTTCCTCATCAGCTTCCCTATGCGGTCAGTGGTTCCCTTGATGTATGGCAGGAACACTTTTCCTCTGGGTGGATCTTCATCTTTACTCTCGTGGCTTGTTCTTGGTCTTGCAGCTCTTCTGATGTCTGAGGTGGAGTATCCATTGGCCTGGAGAGCCCAGTTGAGGTGGTTCAGTTCACCTTGGAGGAGGTGGGGTTCGCAGATTCTTTTTGCACGGTCTGCCAAGGCTTTAATGGTGCTTCTTTTTTGACTTGGGTGATGGTTGGAGTTTTTATGTAGATATCTATCTGTGTGTGTGGGTTTTCTGTAAACGGTGTGACCCAATTGTTGATCTGGTTTGCAGATGACTAGGACATCTAGAAAAGGCAGTCTTCCTTCATTTTCTTTTTCCATGGTGCTCTCCCATTCTTACATCTTAAAAGAATGGGACAGTTTTGATAATAATGAGAATGCATCCATTCTTGCACATCTCGAGTCTCAATATTCTGTATGTATTCCTTCATTGGTGAAATCCATCGGGACGAATAGTTCAATTATGTGTTTATCTGGAATATCACTAGGCACTATTATGTACATAATAAACAGTATGCACATTAATATTATTTTATGGCATAAAAGCACAGTATGTCACAGCAAACGAGATCTATATGCTGGATTTCATATCACAAAATCACAAGTTGAACACTTCCCAAGCGTCTAGGACTGTGTGATGTATTATTATTATTATTATTATTATTATTATTATTATTCGAAACACAACAAGATGAGTCCACAGCAGACTGTTGTATTGGATCACACATCGGACATTTCCCAAGTGCCTAGTACTATGTTATGTGTCAGCGAATAATGTGTGCAGATCCCAGTAAAGTGGCCTTCTGCAGCTGGCAGATGATAATTTTGTCAGCGCCGATTGTGTTTAAGTGCAGGCCAAGGTCTTTAGGCACTGCACCCAGTGTGCGGATCACCACTGGGACCACCTTGACTGGCTTGTGCCAGAGTTTTTGCAGTTTGATCTTTAAATCCTCATATTGTGTCAGCTTTTCCAGTTGTTTCTCTTCAATCCTGCTGTCCCCTGGGATTGCGACATCGATGATCCATACTTTGTTTTTTAACACGACTGTGAGGTCAGGAGTATTATGCTCCAAAACTCTGTCTGAATTTGGAAGTCCAAGAGGAGTTTGGCGTGTTCATTCTCTGTAACTTTTTCCGGCTTGTGATCCCACAATAATAATAATAATAATAATAATAATAATAATAATAATAATAATAATAATAATAATAATAATAATAATATAATAATAATAATAACAATAATAATACAATTAGGAGCCCCCAGTAGTGCAGTGGGTTAAACCACTGAACTGCTGAACTTGCTAACCAAAAGGTTGCAGGTTTGAATCCGGGGAGCGGCCTGGCAGGCACGGGAAATTTGAATCAGAAAACTCTGTATATTCTATACTAGCTGTCCTCTGCCACACGTTGCTGTGGCCCAGTCTGTGTATTTGTGTTTTGTGTTTGTATATATGTGTATTTGTGAATATGTGAATATATGTGTGTTTGTGTATATATGTGGTTTTGCACATGCATTGTTGTTGTTGTTTTTTTGTTGTGAATGATGTTACTGGACCCTGTAATGTTGCTCCCCGAGTAAACGTGGAGACAAAGTTGGCATCTAGGTTTGTGGCAGGGTCTTGTTCCTCCTGTATTACCATCCATAGTATGTATCCTGTGGTGAGTACAGTAGCTGCTTACAATTTTGAGATTGAAAGGCAATAAATGCCAGTCTCCCAGAGCTTGTGAAAAGGATAAATTCATAATGGGCTGTAGATTCCCTATTTTGTGGGTCTAAGCAGTTGTGTTGGACTGGTTAGCAGTAAACAATAGGTAGGGTGTTCTGAACGCTATTAATTGCTTTAGACCATATTCACAAATTCAAATTCAAATTCTTTAGCAGAGATATTAAGAAGTACAATGGCTTCATGGCACATTACATATATTAATACAAGATTTCTCAGTACTACATATCTAGAAATTGTCTCAAGAGATGATTTTGAGCCCAGGGAAACAAACTTTTGGTAAGGAGAGGTATTACTGTCACACTAACACTAGCTGACCACTATAAATCACTAAGATCAGAAAAACCTGTGTCACCTTGTCAAGCCCTGTGACATAAGGGGCAAAGGAAAATATTGGGATTTTCTAGGTCCTATTGCATTTTATCTCATTTCACAACTGTATAAATATGCTTTCTACTTGAGTTCTTTATATCATTATGCTACATCTGAAAAATGCTTTTATATCCATGAAAGCTCATAGTTAGTCCTAAATATGCTGCCACATTTCTTTTCTTTTCTCTCCCTCCTTTCTTCCTTTTTATGCTGGGATTTGGAAATCTGTGCCAGAGACCTGTCATGCCACTCTAGATTCATAGATTCCATAGAATGCAGTTATGAGCTTGAAAAAAATCACTGAGCAATGGCCTTAGCAATTTTCCTAGTTACCTCTTCCAAAATACCTTGACTCCAAGGAGTCCTTAAAGTTGGGTTAGTGTCAGTCCCTGAAAGGAAGAATTCAGCTTCCAGCTTCTCTTTTTGCAAGTGCTGCTGTCACCACATTTCTCTTCCCACTCCTATCACTATTGTTATTGTACACCTTTGCATATCACTACCACCATCTTCTGTTCTACAAGGGTGTCCTGAGAATGGCCTGCTGCTTCATCTTCTCCTCCTCTTGCCTCTTTATGTAAAGACTAGCCATCTCCTGCCACGCATTGCTGTGGCCCAGTCTGTGTATATGTGTTGTGTGTGTGTATATATGCGTATATGTGTGTGTATATATTTGTGTATATGTGTGTTTGTGTATATATGTGGTTTTGCGCATGCGTTGTAAAGTATTTTGGGTGGGGTTTTTTTTGCTTTTTAAGTCCCTTCTGCTGTGTTTTTCAGTGTTTTTATTAGTGATGGTCACTCGTTGGCCTGATAGGTGTATTGTGTCTAAATTTGATGTCAATCTGTCCAGTGGTTTTTGAGTTATGTTAATCCCACAAATGAACATTACATTTTTATTTATATAGATAAGGGATCTTCTAGAGGAGCTGGAAAGCATCAAAGGAATAGCTAGTAGCCTGCAATCCTAGCCTTACATCATTGTGGTTCTTGGCCCATCTTGCTAGAAAACATCAGGGACAAATGAAATACTGCAATGCATCACAACTTAGGAGAATATTATTTGATACAAATATTAAGCATTGTGTATTTATTTCTTAGAATTTGCTTAGATATGCAAGAAAAATAGAAACTCTACCTAATTTAGATGTTATGACTGATAATAACTTGGATTGTTGTTTAATTGGATATGTTGATTTCAAAGTAATATTCAATGGGGAGAAGAGTTGAGAGCATCTATATATGACACTACTGCCTAGTCTTGGTTTCTAAAAACAAGCTTTAGTTTTTACTGAACCAGGTCTAATCTATTAAAAGGATCTTAAATCAAAGTTAGGTATAATGCAGTCTTCCAGCCATTGTTGAAGGTATTAAAGACAGGTAATCTAATTGTGTACTTCATTTTCTCCTAACGATTTTCCCAGCAGCCCTACCCAAACTTATGCTGTAAAATTTAAAATTTGACAGAAAAAGCCACTCTGGGGCATGACTTACATGGACAACTCTGGTACTAATGGTTAAGGCCAATGAAAGGAAAGATAATGGGAATAAACATCAAAGAGTGGAGATAACATCCAAGTGTTAGGCATGGGTCATTGTTTACTGTTGTACCACTCCTTGGTCTCAAACACTGAGGACAGAAAATATCTGAAGTCGAGGAGTTGAAGAAAAGAGGTATAGAACCCCACATTATTTTAAAACATGTATCCAAGTGTCGTGTTGCTGCATAGTTCAGATAGTAAGAAAATACTATCTTTTAGTAAATTATCATATAAGAGTTTCCATTTAATTACTGTGCTGGACAAGTTAAAACCCAGCGAACCACAGAAAATTCATTCTAGACATGGATTACTAGTAGCCAACTAAACCCTGTATTAATAAAAAAATACTTTTATTTTTATAAACAGTCTTTAATCACTCTTTCAAAGATTAAATAGACTTGTAATGGCATACATTTTTGTAGA